AGTGATCCATCCGCCTCTACCTTCCAAAGTGCTGGGATTACAGGCGTGAGCCACCGTGCCCAGCCTAACTTGACTTCTTCAAAAAAGAAGGAAAAAAATTGGCGATGGGGGGTCTCACCCTGTTGCCCAGGTTGATCTTGAACTCCTGACCTCAAGCGAGGCTTCCACCTTGGCCTCCCAGAGTGCTGGGATTACAGGTGTGAGCTACTGTGCCCAACACAGGTTACAGCTCAAAACTTGACTAACTTAACTTTGGAGAATCTGGAAGGATCTCCGGGACTGAAGAGAGCCACAGCATCGCCCTCTCCCCGACCTCAGCACGAACGAAATTCATTTGGAGGCTGCCGGCTGGACTTCTAAAAAGAGTGTTGTGCGTGTTTTGAGTAAAAGGAGAAAGAAAAGCCATTGGTCCTCAAATCCACCCATCTCCATTAGCATCTCAAAGTAATACCAACCCCCAAAAATAAATAAAATAAAAAGAAATACTCTTGGCAGTGCCATGGGATTCCCACCAGAAATAAGCAGAGCAAGCCCATGAACTTTCCATTCCAAAAGGGTGGCCCATCCCTAGGCTCCTCCCATACACAGAAATTCTGGAGCTATCTCTGAGGCAGCAGTGATGGAATCAGGAGCTTGCAGGTACGTAGACCCTGTTAACGTCTCAGAGCTTCAGTCTCCTGCCAGAAGAAGAAATTGAGCAATGTAATCATTACTCCACTTCTGATATTCTGAGGGTTAAACTTGTGGGGCATTGCTTGTCGGGCCTTCAGCTCAGCACCTGCAGTGGGTTCTCAAGAAATGGAGCTGTTATAAGGACAATATTCATCTTAAGTTTATATGACATCCTGGTGTTGGCAGCGTGCGGTGGCTCACGCCTGTAATCCCAGCACTTTGGGAGGCCGAGGTGGGCGGATCATGAGGTCAGGAGTTCCAGACCAACCTGGCCAATATGGTAAAACCCCATCTCTACTAAAAATACAAAAATTAGCTGGGCGTGGTGGCGGGCGCCTGTAGACCCAGCTACTCAGGAGGCTGAGGCAGAAGAACTGTTTGAACCGGGGAGGTGAAGGTTGCAGTGAGCCAAGATCGCACCACTGCACTCCAGCCTGGGCAACAAGAGCAAAACTCCATCTCAAATAATGATAATAATAATATCCTGGTGTTGGCTGGGTGCAGTGGCTCACGCCTGTAATCGTAGCACTTTGGGAGGCTGAGGTGGGCAGATCACCTGAGGTCAGAAGTTTGAGACCAGCCTGGCCAACGTGGCAAAAACGCATCTCTACTAAAAGTACAAAATTAGCCAGGCATGGTGGTGCAGGCCTGTAGTCCCAGCTACTTAGGAGGCTGAGGGAGGAGAATCACCTGAACCTGGGAGGTGGAGGTTGCAGTGAGCTGAGATCTCACCACTGCTCTCCAGCCTGGGCTACGAGAGTGAAACTCCGTCTCAATCAGTCAATCAGTCAATAAAATCCTGGTGTTAGATTTGCAATGCCTTCCTCTGGGCGTTGCACACAGAAGGTGCTTAAGGTGCGTTTGCTCTAAATGTAGTGAAAGCTACGGGAGGAAGGGGATGCCAGAAAGTCCCCTCTGCATCGAGTCCCCAGAATCTGTGTATGTGCATATTACTTGGCATCCGCTCTAGATTATTCTAGGGTCACAACTGCTACCCCTGGTCTGAGCCCCTCTCTCAGCTTCATTTTCTATGTCTATAAGCAAAGGGGATTGATCCTGGACAAGTTCAGTGGCTGGAGTGTCTGGCATCCTCTGTCAGCGGGCAGCTCTGATCCAAGCTCTGCATGCCTAAAAATCCAGTCCTATCTTATTTCCTGTCAACAGGAGAGCAAGCTCCTTCCCCACACCCATGCTCCAAGGCCTTCCCAGGGCCGGCCAGCTCCCTGACCTCAAAGCCTCTGGCATCTCTGAATTCACAAGCCTAGTAGTTGCTTGATGAATGTTTGTAGAGTGAGTGCAAGGGCTGGAGGGCTCTTTAGAAACCATCTAGTTAATCTGGTGTTTCTCAGCCATTAAAAAAAGTCACATATCCATGAGATACAAACAAAAATATCTCCTTCCCCCACTCAATATTCTAGCTCTCCAAGAAAGGGTGTCCCTCCATCCCTGGTGAGAAGCATTGACAGAAAACAGAACCTGTCTTTGGCGATGCGTCCTCTAGTGAATCACTCCGCTATTTGAATTATAAAGTCATTTTTGCATTTCCAAATTATAAAATTATGCCATGCCAGTGAAATAGTTGTCTAAATGACCCTTGTCTCCCACCCCTGCTGCACAATACTATGAGCTTCATTTTGGCCCTCTCCCAGCCAAGAGTCACAGTTAAGGCCCAGGGAGCCCTGAGAAAGAAGACACTTGTCCAGCATCGCAGAGCAAAACAGTGCACTATGGACTTGAAAGTGGGTCTGTTCATTTCTTTTTTTCTTTTTTCTTTTGAGACAGTCTCAAATGACCTGTGTAATCAAGTAGAGTTGGAGATGTCAGCATGGCATTGGAGCTTAATATAAGTACAGATGGTTACCTATAGAAATATTTGTAGATGGGGCCAGGCACAGTGGCTCACACCTGTAATCCTAGGACTTTGCGAGGCCAAGGCGGGCGGATCACGAGTTCAGGAGATCAAGACCATCTTGGCTAACACGATGAAACCCAGTCTCAACTGAAAATACAAAAAATTAACCAGGCGTGGTGGCAGGCGCCTGTAATCCCAGCTACTTGGGAGGCTGAGGCAGGAGAATTGTTTGAACCCTGGAGACAGAGGTTGCAGTGAGCTGAGACAGCACCACTGCACTAAAGCCTCGTGACAGAGCGAGACTCCATCTCAAAAAAAAAAAAAAAAAACCTATAGATATGTGTGTGTGTAATAGTATATACAGAAATTTCTTTGTTCTGTCAATTGAGACTGCCTGAAAGAAATGACATCTCAATAGCAAGGAGCACACCTAGCACTCAGACCTTGGTTTATTTTTCTTCTTTTTTCCTGAAACGGAGTCTCACTCTGTCACCCACGCTGGAGTGCAATGGCATGATCTCGGCTCACTGCAACCTCCACCTTCCGGATTCAAGTGATTCTCCTGCCTCAGCCTCTCGAGTAGCTGAAATGACAGGCGCACGCCACTATCGCCCGGCTAATTTTTGTATTTTAAGTAGAGACAGGATTTTGCCATGTTGGCCAGGTTGGTCTGAAACGCCTGACCTCAGGTGATCCACCCGCCTCGGCTTCCCAAAGTGTTGGGATTACAGGCGTGAGCCACTGCGCCCGGCTGGGTCTGTTAATTTCTAGGTCCACTGTATTCTGAATGCTTGGTCTTGGGGTGGAAGTTCTACTTCCAGAGCCACCCAGCCCGAGCCTCCCGGATCTGGAAGGGGTAGGCCCGGCTCCCCTACTCAGAGTCCCAGTGCCCCGAGTATCTGTGGCCAGGGCATCCAGGGCACAATAGCCCCACCCTCAGCCCCCAGGCCTCAGTGCCCACTGCTCCTCAGGTGGCGGATCACAATGGCCCCGAAGCAGCCCAGAGGCAGCAGGGAGGGGCTGGGAGAGGCACCAGGCAGGGATGGTGGACTCTCCCAAGGGCTAGCCTGCCTGTAGAAAGCTCTAAACTCACAGGACCTTCTCGGACCCCGTCCAGAAGCCTACCAGGGTGAGTGTGGCACTGCCCAGGAGCCAGCTCAGAGCTGACAACAATCTGGGAGTGGGGTGTGGTGGAAGGAAGCGGGCTCAGAGACCCTCAGTGTCAGAGCTGGGAGGACTGGGGCTCTGCCTCCCAAAGGGGGAGTTTGTTAAAAGTCTGTGTCGTGGCTGGAAGTGGGGGCTCACACCTGTGATCCCAGCACTTTGGGAGGCCAAGGCAGGAGGATCACTTGAGCCCAGGAGTTCAAGACCAGCCTGGGCAACATAAATACAAAAAATTTCTACCCCATTTCTACAAAAAATCCAAAAATTAGCTGGACACGGTGATGTGTGCCTGCAGTCCCAGCTACTCAAGAGGCTGAGGCGGGAGAATCACTGGAGCCCAAGAATTTGAGGCTGCAACGAGCTACGATGGCGCCACTGTACTCCAGCCCGGGCGACAGCAGGATGCTGTCTTAGTAAGACCTCATCTCTTTAACAACAACAACCAAAAGTGTCTTGGCTCCACTAGAGACCTACTGAATCAGCATGGGAGCTGGGGGTAAGTCATCTGTTCTTTCAGTCTCCCCACCCAGGGGTCTCAGAGGCACCACCAGGGCTGGGAGGCTGCTGGTCAGGTCTCTCTTCCCTCAATCTGGTTCCACGTTTCCTAATTCCCAGTAGAGTGCTCATGACGGTCACGGCTTCCACGATTTAAACACACACAAGGCAAGCTAAGTGCTTTCTACCAGCGGCGATGCCATTTCACTCCTGCAAAGAAGCAGGTGCTGCTATGAGCCCCATTCTACAGACCAGCGCCCCAGAGAAGGCAGGGAGAAGTGATTTGGCTTGCTCTTGCCCAAAGTTATAAAGCTAGGAAGTGGAGGAGCTGGGACGAAATCCTAAATAATAATAACTTTTTTTTTTTTTTTTGAGACAGAGTCTTGCCCTGTCATCCAGGCTGGAGTGCATGGCGTTATCTCGGCTCACTGCAACTTCCGCCTCCTGGGTTCATGGGATTCTTCTGCCTCGGCTTCCCGAGTAGCTGGGATTACAAGCGCCCACGACCGCACCAGGCTAACAGTTTGTCTTTTTAGTTAAGACACGTTTCACTATGTTGGCCAGACTGGTCTCAAACTCCTGATCTCGCGATCCGCCTGCCTCGGCCTCCCAAAGTGTTGGGATTACAGGCGTGAGCCACTGGACCCGGCCAATAATAACTTTTAAATACTAAGAATGGCAGCTAGTCTCTGGGTAACCTTGGCCAGCGTGCCTGGCACTGTTCCGAGCTTGCGGTTCTAGGACTGGCATGTACTTGCTCACGTCACAACAACCCCCAAAGTTGTCCGCCTTTGCCGTCACCATTTTTCAGGTGAGGAGACAGAGGCTCAGAGAGGTCTAGCCCGAATTCGCTCGCTGTCCGCCGGGCGGGTAGCGTTCACCCCGAACCGCGCTGCGCTGCCCCGCCCGGGGCACTATGGCCTGGGGCCGGACTATGCCCTCCGCACCTCACCCGGCGCCCCCCACCCACACGCGCTGAGGGTGCGGTGAGCTGAGCGCGGGGCTCAGCATGTTTCGGCGTCGCCCCCGCCCAGGGGCCCAGGAGGTGGCGCCCAAGGAGCCCCCTGGCGACGGCGACTTCCGACGGAGTCACCCGCGGCTGCCCAAGCTGACCCCGCCCCCGCTCCGAGCGGCCCAGGGCGCGCGGGGTTCCGGGGGCTCGAGGATCCCGCGGGGCGGCGCCGCGTGGTGGCCAGAAGGGGACGCCGAGCCCGGGGTGGGCGTCGGGAGCCCCCCGCCGCGCCTGCCCGCCCTGCCCACCGCGACCCGGCGAGCGGCGGGGAAGCGGGGGCTGCTGCAGTCCCTGCTGCTGCCGCCCCTGCTCTCGGACAGCGCGTCCCGGACATCGGCGCCCAGGCAGCCCGGGCCAGGCGAGCGCGAGCGCCCCTGGAGGGGCGTGGCCAGGGAGGACCCCAGCTTCCTGGGCGCCTTCCTAGGAGAGCTCCTCCCCAGCAGGTTCCGTGAGTTCCTGCACCAGCTCCGGGAGAAGTGCACGGACGAGGAGCCACTGAGTGAGGCCCCGCAGGGCCCCGGGGCATTTCCGGTAGGGGGTGGGCCCTGTGTCCCCGCACCCCCCACCTCCACCACTCAGGCTCAGAAGGATGCTAGTGTTAGCCGGGTATCTCAGAGCCCTCGCAACCTCTCCTTGACGGCGAGTCTGCCATCACCCCGAGGCAGGCCTCACTCAGTGGCTCCGGCTCCTCGTCGTCCTAGGAAGGACGTCCCCCAGCCGATGCTCACCCTGTTTCCTCCCGCATCTGGCTCCAGCATCCTCAGCACCGCAACATCAAAGGGGTGTGTTAGAGCACTGCCGGGGGGCTCCGCAGCGTCCCAACCGCTCATTCCTCCCAGACCTGTGGTAAGCGGCAGTCTCCTCGGTGAGGACCGGGTTGCATCGATGTTTCCTGGGCGGGACACCCTGCCCATTCATGCCAGATGTGGCCTGTTTGTCTCTAAGGGGCCAGTCACCTCACCTCCAGGACAGTCTTACCAAGATTTTGCTCCAACAGACACCTGCTCTGGGGTCCCTGAAGGCTGATCGCCCCCAATTCAGCACCGTCAGAAAGGCCAGCCAGTGAGTGAGGGAGGGATAAGGGTAGGATGGTGGGAGATGGGGGGATTTCTTTCCTCCTTTATTTCTTCTTTCGCCCATGAATGTGTCCATTTATTCACCTATCCATCCATTCATCCATCCTTACATTCGTCTTTCCATGAATCCGGTCTTCTACTAACCGATTCAAGATTCACTCACCAGTTCATCTACGAATCGACCCATCCATGAATGAGGTCTTCCACCAACATAGAATGCATCCATGAATCCATTAATAGATTTATTTTTCCATTCACCCATCCATCTTTGCATCCATCTTGGCCATGACCCAGGCCTTCTACAACCTATTCATGGATCTCTCCATCTATCCATCCATCCTTCTATTCACCCATCATTCATCTATCATGAACCCATAACTCCATCCATCCATCCATCCATTCACTCACCCACCCACCCGAGAATCAGGTCTCCTGTGGATCCATTAATCCACCTGGCCAACCAGCTAGCCAGCCATCCATCTAAAACTCCCACACTTCTGTCCATCCATCCATTGATCCAATGATCAACCATCTACAAATACTTGCATCCAGTCATTCAGCCATCCAAAACCTACATACCCCTCTACACAATCATCCAGCCTCTGTCTGTCTATCTGCCCATACATCCATAGTTCAGTTCTATTCAGACCCTTTCATTAACTCACCCATCAGTCCATTCACCGATCAACCCACCCACCTGTGTTCCATCTTTTTATCCATCCTACCATCATTTGTCCATTTCTCACTCTTTTATTAGGTTTTACTATGTGTTGAATATAGGGAAAAAAATAAGGATTGGAACCTACCTGGGCCTAGACACCATAGTTTTAACAGAGGTGGGGAAGAAGACAGAAACAGTTCCTTCAGGTTAAAATTCCTCCAGGCTTAAGCAGGGGTGAAGGGCGGACAGCACTGCCCATGAGTTTAAAGACCAGAGAGAGTAAATACGTCACATACATATCATTCTTTCTCATCTCATACCCACGGCAGACAAAACTAATGGATCGCATTCCCCACTGAGCCTCACAACCCTTCCTTCTCACACAGTACTCCAGGCAGGCGCCGCTGATGGATCATAGTAGGAACCAGAAATGAAACACATGGCCAAGCATGGTGGCTCGCGCCTGTGATCCCCGTGCTTTGGGAGGCTGAGGCAGGAGGATCGCTTGAGCCCAGGAGTTTGAGACCAGCCTGGGTGACATGGTGAAACTCTGTCTCTACAAAAACTGTAAAAGTTAGCTTGGCCTGGTGATGTATGCCTGTGGTTCAAGCTACTTGGGAGCCTGGGAGGTCAAGGCTGCAGTGAGCCAAGATCAGCCTGGGTGACAGAACAAGATCCTGTCTCAAAGAAAAAAAAAAGTGCAATACATTTACCAACCCAACAACTTTCAGCCAATCAGGCCAAATATGCACATGGCTTCTCACAAGATATAATAAGTAAATGTATGGAATTCATTCTCTCAAATGTAAGCAAAAGCAGAGACAGTTACAGGCTTTCATATTCCAGAGCAAATACTTGAGCACCTTAGTGTGTGTGAGATTCCCTGGTAGGCCCTGTAGGGGACACGGAGGTGCCTTAGAACAGGCTCCAGTGGCCCTCAGTGGAGATGCTGAGATTTCAGACAGGTGGGCAGAGCTGAGTTATGCCTTTGCCTGGCCCTGCAGCCAGCAGACAGCAGGGGTTCCTGAGCAGACAACTGTTGGATGGCTGGGTCCCAAAGTATGTAGCCGGGCACTGTCCCGACACCTCCCGACTGCTTGGTTCTTTGGGGGCTGATGAAAAGCATTCCGTCTGCATCTACACAGACATACAGATGTGGCCTGATGTATGGATGCAGACATATAAATATGTGTATACTAACGGTCAGCCATGACCTTCCTAAACAGCACAGCTATAGGTGGGTCAAGCGGATCCTCCCGCAGCCTTACCCTTGAGGCTGAAATTAATAGCTGTAAATGGAACAATGTTATCTACGAAATATACATGTAACAGATAAATGGAACAATGTTATCTACGAAATATACATGTAACAGATGCCCTTGATTAAGGCCAAGCCCTGTGCTGGGCCATGTCCTAGATGCTTCATGTAAGTTATCTGATACCAAACTCAGGAGGATGGCATTATTTTGCCTATAATTTAAAGAGAAAAAAATGAAAATGGAAACTTGGGGATAGTCTGCTGAAGGTCACGTGGCTGGGATGAGCCATGATTGAGATAGACAGTTACTATAAGTACAGCTCAGCCAGGCGCAGTGGCTTATGCCTGTAATCCCAGTACTTTGGGAGGCCAAGGCAGGTGGATCACCTGAGGTTAGGAGTTTGAGACCAGACCAGCCTGGCCAACATGGTGAAACCCCATGTCGACTAAAAATACAAAAATTAGCCAGGTGTGGTGGCACGCACCTGTAATCCCAGCTACTCTGGAAGCTGAGGAAGGAGAATCGCCTGAACCCAGGAGGTGAAGATCGCAGTGAGCCGAGATTGTGCCAATGCACTCCAGCCTGGGCAACAGAGTGAGACTCTGTCTTAAAAAAAAAAAGGAGCAGCTCCCAGTTAGTGATGTTTAATCTGGGTCCTGCAGACCCTGGGCTGGATGCTTTTACAAGCCATTTCTTTTCTTCACAACCCTGTACAGTGGGCACAACAATTCCCATTTTACAGATAAGAAAACTGAGGCTCAAAAAGGTCAGGACTGCATGATTCCTGGGCTGGCATTCTTATTCTCTCTGTTCAACTCCTTTATGTGCAAGGAGGATCGCTCTGGAACCAGGATGCTGGTCTTGGCTCCACGCCTAGCAGCTGCATGACCTTGAAATCATCTCTGTGCCTCTGTTTCCTCAACTAGAAAATGAGAATGATCACAGTGTGTCGTAGGGCCGTGTGTATTTGGTGGGATGGTGTATGTGCCTGCTTGAGCCTCCCTGGCAGGTAGAAAGTGCTCTGTCAAGGCGGGCTGCTATGACTGGCATTATCCAGTCTTAGAGGCCAGAGGAGGCCACTTGTCTAGGATCTCACGGTGAGTCCGGGGCTGGTGGATGTGTGTTGGGGTGCGGCGGGGGCTCTGAGCACAGGCCCCTCTCTCCTCTCCCAGCAGGCCCTCTGGGAAAGGCTCAGGGCCCCACAGGCCTCGCTGCCCTTTCCGGGTGCGATTTGCTGACGAGACCCTGCAGGACACCCTGCTCCGCTACTGGGAGCGCCAATGCTCAGGTGAGCAGACCTGGAGTGAGGGACCAGCTTGCAAAGGCCAAGGGGTCAGTGACCCTGCTGAGGAAGAGCCTGAACTGGCCTCCCTGGAGGGTGTCAGGGTGACCTTTGAGGACCAAGTAGAGGGTCCAGAGTCCAGCAGAGGTGTTGCAAGGTAGGCGGCGCCTTGGACTGCTTGCTGCCAAGGGGTCCCCATGTGCTGCATCTGCACCCCTTGAAACCCGTAGCCAGAGCCACTGAGCCCACCCTTGCTCCCCTCCCCAGCCCCCAAAGCCTACAGGGGCTGGAGGAGGCCCAGATGCCATCAAAAGCATCTTTCCCCCACATCCATGAAGGCAGACCTCAGAAGCCTGCCTGAGGAGGTGCACAGAAAAGCCAGGAAAAGGAAACGTTCTCTGCTGGAGACAGCGGGCACTGCCTGGTCCAGCAAAGAAGCTGAACCACCAGGCCCTGGGTGTAATGGCGTCCGTTTTGCTGCTCCCAGCGAGTTTTCTGAAGTGGGTTTTGAGAAGCAGGTGAGAAGGCCATGTTCTTGCTCTGGCATCACCTTGACCAAGTTCCACCTCTTTCCATGTGCCCAGCCTCGTCTCAGGGTCCAGTAGCCCCCAGGGCCTTCAACAGTCAACTTCCTCTAGCTGTTTACTGAGCACCTGCTATGTGCAGTTTCGGGAAACGCCTGCCTCAAGGTCCAGCTGTGGGTGACGACCTGCAAACCTAGGAGCCTCGCTGATGTGGGAGGGTCTGACCCAGCCCCCTAGGAGCCTCGCTGACGTGGGAGGGTCTGACCCAGCCCCCTTGGCGTCACAGGGAGCTGAAGTTAGAAGCTGGGATTTTTGCCCAACTTCCGTGTGTTTGGTGGGGAAACTAAGGCCCTGGAAGCAGAAGGGGCTTGTGTGGGTGACACAGAGCCACATATGGAAGCTAGAGTGCCCCTCGGCCCCTCTTGGGAATCCAAGGCCAGTGCAAGCCTAGAAGAAACAATGACCTGTGAATGGCAGTTGGTGCCTACGGGAGATGATTCCATGTCGGCCACTGGCCATAAGGAGCTACGATGGTGCCCAGGGCAGCAGGGTACCCAGGAGATGTGGGGCCAGCCTGCTGCTTCCCAGCCCTTTCCATACTGGGCAGCCACTAGGGAATTCAGGGTCCTTGGACCAGCCCGCATGGCTGATGTTGGGCAGGAAAAGCCCCAGCCTTGAGGCAGCCGTCCCCAAACCCCTCAGCACTCTCGGCATGGTTTCTGGGATTTCTGTGATGGGGTAAGCGGTCTCCCCACTGCGAGAAAGGGGCTGAGCTTCCGGCCGCAGCACGAGTGGGGGTGCGTAGGAGGCACAGCTCAAGTGTAACAAACAGTCACGCAGGTGATTTTAAAACCTAAGCTTTCTCCAGAGGCAGCCAGAAGGCGCTGGGGAGCCGGGGGTTGCCATGGAGACAGGGCTCTGACCGGCCTTGCCTGCCAGAGGGAGAAGAGGAGGGTGGGGGCACCAGTGCCCTCCTCCCCGGCAGAGATCTCACCCTGCCCTCTCTCCTGCAGTCACACAGAGCGTCACTGTGAACCGGAAGGCCACCCGGCCAGTGGCTTCGGAGCGGGAGTTTGGGAACATTGGAAAATGGCTACAGAGTTTGCACAAAGCCCTGTACCCTGAGGCCAAGGAGGAGACCCTGGCCAGCTCCTCATGCTGGCACTGCGCTGGCCTGTGAGGCTCCAGGGAAGGGGATGGGTCTTGTGGACATTGCCAGGGCTCCCAGCCCTTTGCCTATATACCTCCCCACCCAGCAGCAGGAGGGTTGCCAGTGTGGGCCCTCAAGGGCCTTCCAGCCATGGCTGGGCTGGGGACTCAGGGTCCATGAAGCTTATGGGGTCCTGTCTCCTCCAGGCCCTCCCAGAAGACACAGGGCGACCTTTCTGAGGACACCTCCATGAACAGCAGCCTGCCTTTCTCTTCATGGAAGAAGGATGCTGCTCAGAGGCCGCGAAGGGGCCTCCAAGCCTTCTTGGACCCCCACGGCCTCCTGGAGCAGGTGGGCAAACAGCCTTGTTCCTGGAGTCAGAAGCTGGTGAGCCCCTGGCTGGCAGCTGGCCCCGGGCGCAGCCCTGTTTGGTGGGGTGGCCAGGACTGGGAGTGGCCCCTCCCTGTGAGCCAAGTCAGCAGGGGACCTGTGTTCCCGAATCTCCCTCAAAGTGAAGCAGTCAAGGGGTGTCTCTAAGTCAGGTGCCTGGGTTCAGATCACAGCTCCATAATCGAAGGCTGTGGCTTCCTTCCTTCCTTTCCTTTTTCCTTCCTTCCTTCCATTCCTTCCTTCTTTTCTTCCCTCTTATCCTCTCTCTCTCTCACTCTTTCTCCTTCCTTCCTTCCATCTTTCCTTTCTTCGTTCCTTTTTTTGTGATACAGTGGTTGCTCTGACGCCAGGCTGGAGTGCAGTGGCACAATCTGCTCCCTGCAACCTCTGTCACCTGGGTTCAAGCGATTCTCCTGCCTCAGCCTCCCAAGTAGCTGGGATTACAGGCACCCGCCACCATGCCCAGCTAATTTTTGTATTTTTAGTAGAGACGGGGTTTCACCATGTTGGCCAGGCTGGTCTTAAACTTCTGACCTCAGGTGGTCCACCTGCCTCAGCCTCCCACAGTGCTTGGTGACAGGCGTGAGCCGCCGTGCCTGGCCTTGCATTTGTTTCCTCACCTTGTAAATGGGGCTGACAGCAGAACCTGCCCAAGAGGGCTGCAGCATAGAATCCTGCTGGGCCCTGGGGGCCCAGTCCCCTGCCCTGAGGTCCTGGTGGCAGCCAGCTGGTCCTCTGTCTCACACTCTAGGAGTCCTTCCTTCCCAGCCTGGTGCTTCAGTCGGTCCTGAAGCAAGGCCGCCCTGAGGAGTACTCTCTCCTCTTGCCCTCCCCAACACTGCATCGAGCTCAGAGGTGAGCACCCGCTAGCCCAAGCCCAGGGCACACAGGGCCAGGCCATGACGATCGCCCTTCCTTGCCCCACGAATAAAGGTGCATCCCAGGTGGCTGGGACCTGCCACACCACAAACCTTTCTTCGTATCTGATTGCTGGTCTCTGGGGGTTCCTGGAAGGAAGGGAGTTGGAGACACAGCCAGGATGAGGCTGAGCGGTGGGGACAGGGCATCCCCAGGGTCCAGGACTTGTACCAAGTGAACCCCTTTTCTGGAAGGTGGGAGACCCTGCCACAGACCTCAGACCTGGGAACATGCTGGGCCTGATGGTTCACACCTGTAATCCCAGCTCTTTGGAAGGCTGAGGTGGGAGGATGGCTTGACCCCAGGGGTTCAAGACCAGCCTGAGCAACATAGACCGTGTCTCTACAAAAAAATAAAAAAACAAAAATAATCTGGGCATAGTGGTGCATGCCTGGAGCCCCAGGTACTTGGGAGGCTGAGGCGGGCGATGACCCCAGGAGGTTGAGGCTGCAGTGAGCTGTGATCACACTGCTATTCTCCAGCGTGGGCAACAGAATGAGACCTTGTCTCAAAAAACAAACAACAAGAAACCCCAAAAACTTGGGACCAAGCCTCTGTCGACCTAAATCAGCCCACACCTGAAGTATGTACCTGCTGGAAACTGAGCCTAGGGGTGGAGAACCATGCCCCGCCCTGTCCTCCCCCTCCAAGCCTCTATCTAACCTTCACTGTGGAGTGAGGGTGTCCAGACTCCAGCCCAGGGAAGAGTACCCTGTATTAGTCTTACGCGTTTCCCCAGCCAGGTTCACAGCCTCTGGTCCCTGGAAGGCAAAACACCTGGGTGTGCTGGGCTGGGACCTCCCCTTCTCTCCCTAGTCTGGGGATGGTGGATGTTTGCATCAGGAGGTGGCGAAAGACAAGGTGGCAGGCACTGACTCAGCATCCCAGGCCACCGCCAAGCCCCTGTCTGCCAGGTCTGCCCCCGCCACACCTGCCTTCCAGCCCCCTGGACAAAGTTAGAGCCTCTCTCTGAAGCTGCCAGCGGCCCCCTGCCCCGCGCCATTGCCCGGGATCCGGGTCTTTCTCGCCACCTCCTGGCCGCTGAGGAAATAGCACGGAATCCACACCCTGACGTCTTGTTCCATGGCAAAGGAAGAGGCTGCAAAGGGTGGGATTGGGCTGGGCAGTGGCCGGTGGGGGTCCTTAGGGCCCGGCTGGGGGAGGCCTTTTGGGTGAGGCGCCCTGACTCCAGAAGAAGGGCAATAGAGCTAGGCTCAGTGTAGACGAACTCTGCGGGGATGGGACGAGGACAGCGCTGCAGCCGCTCCTCCACCGGGATTCACCAGAGTGGGATTCAGTCCCCCGGACGTCCCCTCCCCTCCATCTCCCTTTCTGGACTTTCACGCCCCGTCCCCTGACCCAGGCTTTCTATTTCCCGGAGAGACTCCGGGTCTCATCAGGCCTGATTCTACCGCCCCTCCTCTGTGTGGCCTTGCGCAGCCCACCTTGCCCTCTCCGAGCCTCAGTTTCCCCCAAGGACCGCGGCGGGTTCCGACCCTACCGCCGGCTGCAGAGCCGCGCCGCGCCCACGCGGGGGCAGTGTTAGCCTGGCTTTGGCGCCGCCTGGCGCGGCCGAAACTTCGCAGCTGAGTCTCGCTCCAGGGTCGGAAACTTTTCCCCTCGCTCGACGCCCGCACCCACTCGCTTCCGCCTCGGCGCTGCGGGCCCCCGGCAGCCCCGCTCCGGCCGCGAGACCTCCCGGCACGTGCCCCGAGCCCGCGGCAGGCCCTGGCGGGTGGGGGGAAACGCACCGCCCCCGCCCCCCAACTTCCCTCTCTCTCGCTTTTGCTGTTCAGCCCAAAATGGTTAGGCTTGCAGCCCTGCGGCAGCGCGGAGCACTGGAGCGGGAGTCCGCCTGGAGCGCCCTGGGCGGGTCTCGGCGATCCCAAGGCCCCCGACTCCTCGCCCGCACCGGGGACACCACGCCGGGGGAGGGCGCTGGGTGGGCCTGCGGGGAGACCTGGACCCCCTTCCGATTACCCCTGCCTTTCCCCCTTCTCCCCTTTCCCCTCCTCCTCTACCTCGTGGCCCCGGGAGCCCGCAGCGCTCCAGTCCGCCCGCCGCCCCCTCCTCCCGCTCCCTCCCCGCAAACCACTGGCAGCAGGCGGGAGGCCGAGTCCAGAGGACCCGAGACTCAGTCCCGCAGCTCCTGGCACTCACACCCCCCACCGAGATAGGCACCCGGAGACACACACAGGCTCGCTGCAGGACCACAGCCACATGGTACACAGACACACACACCACACACATCCACGGACTCCTGCCCCGCAGACAGCCCATGCACGCAGGTGGACCTCGCACAGACAGACACAGCAGCCCCCACATTCGGGGTCACCTCCTGCCCTGGAGGCCCAGAGGCTTCTCCCTGGCCCTCTGAAGCCACCTCTGTCCACCAACATGTCCCCCACCATCAACTTGGGGTCACCAAGAAGGATGATGATGAGGAGAGGGACCCAGGCATCCAGCTGTTCCCCAGGGGCCGTCGGGGGCCATCTCTCACCCTTCTGGACAGTGACCCAGGACTGGTAGCCTCCCCAGGGGCCCCAACAGGGCCCTTTTCCCTGGGGCATTTCCACTCAGGGCTGGGGGTGGGGGTATCGTGATTGGGGGGTTATGTTTGGGAGGTCGTGGGGGGGGTCGTGGGGGGGCGTTATTGTGGGGGGTTCGTGCTGAGGGGATTATGGTGGGTGTTGTGGTGGGGGATCATGGGGTGGTCGTGGTTGGGGAGTCGTGGTGAGGGGTTGTGGTGGGGGGTTGTGGTGGGTGGTGCTGCCCCTCCTGGGCTTCAGGAAGCAGCATGGTGGGGAGGCCAGGAAAGCTCTGCTCACCTCAACTTGACCTACCTGAGCCCGCTGGGATCAAGGCAGGTGCACCCCCCACTCCTGCCCACCTCCATGCTGTGAGGTCCTGTTTGCCCTCCCCAGCCCACCCTGACCTCTATCATTGGCCATGGGCAGTCCGGTGCCCAGCCAGTGCAAGGTAGAGTGGAAGCCAGGTCTGGCTCCTTAGCCCCATTTGCTGATAAGGACAGTAAAACCCCGAGGGCTCAGGGGGGTCTCACCTGGGGGTGCTGGTGATGCCACTGGAGCTGGAACTCCTGCCCCAGCAGAGCCCTCCACATGCACAGGAGTTCCCTCCTAAGCCACTCTCAGTACAGCCTTTGGTCGTTGGGGAAGCCAAGGCCCAGAGAAGCTCAGCTCTTTCTCAAGGTCACACAGTGCCCTGGTGTTGAAGTCGGGATCCACACTCAGCACCTCTTCATGGGAAGCCCCAGCTCCTGCTGAATGCTGTCCTGTGGGGGCTCCTTCCTGATGCACGTGGGCTCCTCAGAGGCAGGGGGGATCAGGGCAAGGTTAAGGAAGGAGCGGCGTTTATTTGGAGACAGTGGAACTGGGCAGGGGCACAGGGCCTGCTGGAGCCAGAAGCCTCAAGGCTGTTGGCAGGACCCACGACCGACCAGAGTGGGGAGGAGGGTGCTGACTCCTGGCAGGAGCCTGGTGGGAGGGAGAGGAGGGAGCCTGGATCCAGGGAACCCTGCAGATATGGCTGATTGCCATTCTGCAGGCAGCTCTTTCAGCGCTGTTACGGACTGAACATGTCCCACCAAAATTCATATGCTGGAACCCCAGGCCCGATGTGATGGTATGAGGAGGTGGGGCCATTGAGATGGTTGAGAGGTGATCAGGTCATGAGGATGGAGCCCTCACAAATGGGATTAGTGCTCTTAGAAAAGAGGCCCCAGGCCAGGCCAGGTGGCTCTCACCTGTAATCCCAGCACTTTGGGAGGCCGAGGTGTGGTCAGGAGTTTGAGACCAGCCTGGCCAATGTGTCGAAACCCTATCTCTACTAAAAATACAAAAATTAGTCAGTCATGGTGGCAGGTGCCTGTAATCCCAGTTACTGGGGAGGTTGAAACAGGAGAATCACTTGAACCCAGGATATGGAGGCTACAGTGAGCCGAGATATTGCCACTGCACTCCAGCCTGGGTGACAGAGCAAGACTTTGTCTCAAAAAAGAAAAAAAAAAAAGAAATGACAAGGCAAGAAAAAGAGGCCCCAGAGAGGCCTTGCCTCTTCTTCCGTGTGCAATACAGCAAGAGGCCAGCAGTGTGCACCTCGGAGGGGGCCTCACCGGAACCCAACCGTGCCAGCGCCCTGATCTCGGACTGCCAGCTGCAGCCTGGGAGGAATACACTCTGTTGCTTCGAAGCTGCCCAGGATCTGGTCATCTGTTAGGCAGCCCAAGTACCAGACTCAGCCAAGTACCACACCTGTGCTGGGCCCTGAGTGGGCACCTGCGTGGGCAGCCCTGGCCCCAGGAGCCTTGGGTCCTTGGAAATGTCACTCGGCAATTCCAGGACGAAGTGACAAGTGCTGGGAGGGAGACCTTGGGAGCACAAAGCGGGGACTCAATCCCCTGTGCAGGGCACGGGGTGGACACTGGAAGAAATGAAATGGGAGAAAGTAAGTGTTAGAGGGTAACTTAAAATAACTTTCCATTCACCAGTTTGGCCATCCCTATATAGTTTTTTAAATAACTTCAACTATATTTTAGATTAGAGTACTCATACAGGTCTGTTACCTGGCTGCCTTCTGACGGCAGCCAGGTGGGGGCGTGGTCAGAACTAACCAGAGGAACGCAGGGAGACTGACCAGAGGTCTCACAGGAGGGCTGGTGTTGAAATTATCCCCGAGGCCTCGGGAAGGAAAGAGGCAGGGGAGGGCTGTTGAGCAGGCAGAGGGAAAGGCTGGTGTTCCCCTAGCCAAGACACACACGCGCGCACACATGCATGCACACGCACACACACGCACACATGCGCATACACACACTCCCCTGCCTCCCAGCCATGTGGGGCTGCCCAGTGCCAAGACACACACACACACACATGCATGCACACGCACACACACTCACGTGCATGCACACACACACGCACACATGCACATACACACTCCCCTGCCTCCCAGCCATGTGGGGCTGCCCAGTGCCAAGACACACACACACACATGCATGCACACGCACACACACTCACGTGCGCCCCCACACACGCACAC